CATGAAACAGCCAAGCTGACCCCATGGTCAGTAGAAGGGGAGTTAATGGTCACCCCCAGGATCAAATTACTTTAAAAGGATTACTGTAAGGTAGAACATGCCTCCCGAGGTCACCATGCTGACCAAAATGGAGCGCAAGAGCATCAAACATAGTCCAAATTTAGGTCATTTTTGACTGCTGTAACTCATATTGCCCCCCTTATAAGTTCGAATTCTGACAGATTGTTCTGTAAAAATCATCGTTTTAGTGATACTAGATAATCTAGGGACCCTTAAGCCCAAAAGAGGGTGTGGTTCGACCCGTAATTTGTGGTTTAAGTATTACTCCCTTTACAATTCTGTGACATGAAGCCTTTTTTAAGATTTAATAGACCATTTTGTCTTTTTCACGTTGTTTTCGTCAAGAAATGCCCAATAGCGCCGAAACGGTACAAGATAGAGCAAAACGGACGACATTTTCGGCCTCGGGATTCTCTTTTGCTGAGTTACCACTTAGGAGCCAATAAAAAATATTTCAAGGAAAGAAATATTTTGCAACCTGTGGTTTTTGATCTTTTTAGAAGTCAATTTCTGAGCTAGAATGCTCATCTTCGAACTCGATCTGTCTTTTTTTGATGCAAAACGACCCTGAAATTCCCAGATCGCTCTCTCAAATCTTTCCCGAGTTATTGTGCGAACAGACAGAGAGACAGACAAACAAAGAGACAAACAAACAGAATGAAGCTTTCTCGGTCAGTGGAGTAATAAGCTTCGCTTATCGCTCAGCCAACAATATCTTACCCAGGCGCTGTCGTCTATTGGTACTGGAGCAGTCATATTTCCGCTAAGGAGTTGCAATTCTTTCGGTTTCTGTGGATTGAAGTGTGTAACTCGCATATTCCATGACCATTTACCCTGCTCCTTCGCGCACTGGTAGAACCTATCGGCGTAAGATATGAATGGGCCCTGAAAAGTAGAAATTTTTACTGCACAAATTTTGAAATTAGACAATTTTGAAAATGTCTGGAATGAAATCAAATGAAAAATCTGTTGAATACATTTAGAAAAAAAACCATTTATTGGGAGTCAAGATTTTACGGGTCAAATTGTTCCGCAAGTTGTCTATCAAAAACACATCGATTTGAAAACTAAAATGCCCATAACTTTTGAACCGTTTGACCCGCAGGTGGGGGGGGGGGGGAATTTAGGGGAAAATTATTTTTAAAAAAAAACAACATTTGTCTAAGGCTTGATATTTTTTAAATTTTTGGTTTAGAATATAGCAATTTTACCCAAGTCTTATCTTAAGGTAAGGCTCCACTGAAATGAGATTTACCTACAATTCTAAATGAGTGTGTACCATCTTTTGGTATGTTTAAGAGGGTTAAAAAAAAACTTTTTTTGACATGTAGCTCAAACTGTTCCTAAGTTATAGCAATTTTTTGTTAAAAATGGCCCTACTTTGAATAACTCCTTGCGCAACAAATCATGCCGCAGAGACCCAATAGAGCCCCGCAAAAAGCGAGCTACGCCAGCAACGCTCCGGACGCCGGTTGACGCGAACAGACGATAGCTCGCCAGCGGACGCCAGCAGATCACATCCGAAGAGTACCCGAACGTTCGCCAAACAGCTCGGCACCGACTAGCACCGACGATCGGCTGGTCGTAGCTTCGATTCCCGCTATCGCACAATTTTTTGGCACCAAAATTTGAGTGAGAAATTGCATTTGGGCCTCCAAATCACATTCTCACCATAATATTTTGAGTTTGGTATTCTGAAAGACGAGAAAATTAAATGTTTCTGGCGGGAGTCGAAGCTCCGCCGCAGCCGCCCGCCGCCAGCTCGCGAGCTAGCGCGAGACGAGACGAGCTATGCAGTCGCGAGACGAGACGAGCTAAATCTACCCGTCGCAACCCGGCATTGGCGTTAGCTCGCGTAGCTCGCTCTTTGCGGGGCTCTAAGACCCAACCCTTAAAAGTTATATTCTTTGACCCATTCCTCAGGTCTGACCAGTGTCATGTTGCCAGTTATGTGATTTAAAAACTCTCTGGAAATTTTTGAAGAGAGTTCTGTCACAAAAGCTGAAAATTGTGCTGTTTTTCGCCATTTTCAGGACCTCAATATAAAAACTACATAAATATTGTGAAAAAGCTTATTGGTCAGTTCTTTCTAACACTTGAAGGAAGTCACATACCACATTGCAGCCTTCTACGTAATAAACTGTTGCGCAAGGAATTTTTCAAATTTTCAAAAAACTTGTTTCGAGAAAAACAAGTTTAAAGTTTCTATAGTTGTTTTTAGTGCCTGCTAGGAAAGTTGAGGTCAAAAGAACAAACAAAACCGATTCCGTATAACCTTTAGGTTATATTTTACAACAGTTCGCAGTATGTCATGCATTTAAAACAGTTTAAACCAAATAGAGACTGCGATAGTACAATTTGTGTAAGAAATGACCCGGGTCAATTCGAAAAAAAAAAATCAAATTCTGTAGAAAAATGCGGCTTACAAAATTTTCATGGGTAAAAACGGACCAGCCTCGTATAGAGGAAGATCCAAAGATGGTTTTTCCGTCAAAAAATCATTTTTGATTTTTTGACTATATTGCGCGTTTTTTTTTCAGTGAAGCCTTACCTTAAGCGCTTGAGGGTGTTCCTCTCACAAGAGTGGCCTAAAAATAAATATGTTAATTTTAGAAAATATGTGATGGTCTCTTAAGGGGTGAATTGTGAAAGAAGAGCCCTCTGGGCTAAAATGTCACCCGTGTGGCTTTCACTGTTTACGTGCCTATACTTAGCCTACTTAGCCTATGCTAGCAAACGTGCAAGCGCATTTTCTTAGGCGAAGAATAAGCTTCCCTGGGTGAAGATTGTCAGATTTTCAGAACCTACCGCAAAGCTTCTGATAGCTTTTCCATCGGTGCCTTCTTGGTTCACGATTGCAACAAACATGAACAACGTTGCAGTATTGAGCAGTGTCGCGCTCACAACTAAGACAGAATCGTGTACGTAAAAGGAACGAAAACAAATTAATGTCACACAGTGAATAAGAATCAATGACTTCGACCCTCCCTACGCACAAGCGGCTATCTTTTCTGAGCGTGGCCGACAAACGGCTTTCTGCTTTTCATTGAGGTAAGGGTTGTCCAGATTTATATTGAATACAGGGTGGCCACGCAATCGGGGATTTCAAATTCCTTGACTTTTCCCTGGCGTTTTCCTGACTTTTTTTCATAATTCTCAGACTTTTGGAACTACTTTTGAAGGAACGTGCCAACGCTGAAAAAGTACTTTTCGAGTCCCAAAAAATCAAAAGTGCCGCCAAGATCTTGAGCACATCACCTTGGAACAAAATCCAGTCATTTTCCCTGACAAACGTTCAATTTCCCTGACTCTTACATGACCAATATTTTCCCCTGACTTTTCGCTTACCTCCCTGACTTCCAGGTTGCGTGGCTGCCGTGCACTTTGAAAAATATCGTCGTAAATTTACAAAAAATTTGTAAACTCCAATTGTAATTTAAGTTCTAAATTTACGACAGCTCATTTCTTACTCGCTAAGTGATTTGAAGTCGCTACATACCACATGTATTTTTACGATTACAAATTGTAATTTTACAACTTGCGTCAAGGAAAGTTTTCCTGTAAACCTACTTCTTTTTTCACCGTGTGGAATAACTCCCGAAGCGGGAGACATAAAATTACCGGTTAAGAAATTTCCTGCTTTGACAACCTCAAAGAAAAATTGTTTCAACGTGTTACATAACCTCTACCGCGAGATATTAAAACCCAAAGTCGCGAGGTGGGGAAAGCAGTTAGCCGTTTGTCTGCCCAGCTCAGAAAGATAGCCATTTGTCAACCACCTCAATAAATATAGCCATGTCTACTGTACGTCGAGGGGGTGATCAGTCATGCGAAATGTGTACAATGATTTTACGGAAAGTGACTTTTTTTTGACTTTTTTGTGACTTTTTTGTGACTTTTTTGTGACTTTTTTGTGACTTTTTGTGACTTTTTTGTGACTTTTTTTGGGGGTTGTACACTGATTTTTCGAGGTGATCCCCCCCTCGCTGTACGTAGTGAGGGTCAACTTTCACTTAATGAATGAGGCATTCAGTTATTCCGGTGAAGCCTGATTGCAAATGCTGAGAACGAACCCGCTTTGTTTTTCTTGCAGCTTTACCGGTATTGAGTTTTCATACAAACTAAATCAGGTTGCACTATTTTTGTGCTTGAAAAGTTACATTCTTACGCATATCTAAACCAACTGGAATTCCAGTTGTTTTGCTTGGTAGTGTACACGCTCTAACCTATTTAGGCACCCCTCGCTGCTATCTGAGAGTATACGCAATTAAATGTCCGACTCGTCACTTTTGTCTTCGCCGTTAGAGTGAGTTAGGCGGTTCCTACACCTTGAGTGCGTTTTTTTTTTTTTTTTTTTTTCGAAATTGGCAAGTTTTCTGAAAATCACATGAATGTTTTCGGTTGTGTGCGATTTATGAACGAAGTAAATTTGAACTATCGATATGCAATTACAATTTGGCGGGATGGGACGGTACTTATGCTTGCTTTTGTAATAACGATCAGCCCGTGAATCAGAGAACAATCTCGCAAGCAGCACAACCTTCTGCAAGAATTTATGTTTTTATCTCTAAATTCTATACGTGCCCAGAGAAGCCCCGAGAAGTCTACGCATGTTGATCACAGTGGGAGTGTCCTCTATGCATTGGCATTCGACAGGCTCGTGGCATTTCTTCTTTGTGATTCGGTTGGCGTGCAGTCGCTACCGTTTGCGTGAAGCTTGATTGGCAGCGGAAAAAGCTTCGACTGGCCAGTGCATCCTGGACTCGGCGATATGATTCTAGCAGAAGAGGCATTGTCACGCACCAAATCGTGAAGAGGTACAAGCTGGACAGGTAGTGACGACTTTGGAAAGGATCGCAAGTGACCACCCCGAGCTGCCGCTGACCCAAATACTCCGCACAGAACTACCAAAATGTTCGGAGATCTCTTATCACTATCGGAGTTGCGAGAAATTCCTGACAGGTATCTACTATCTTTACATCGCTTATTGCCTTCTTGGAATTATATGTGTACGATATTAGGATACTTTTCCCTCTTTCTTTTAGACATCAATCTACCCTAGGCGGAGTACAGTTTGTTCTTTACGACTCGTTCAAAGAAGACGATGGTGACGAAAATAATCGAGTGATTGTCTTCAGCACGAGAAGAAATATTAAAATCCTCTTTAAATACATCATGTGGTTTCTCGATGGAACATTCGAAACTGCACCCCATATTTTTACCCAAATTTTCACTATCTTGGGTTTGGTGGTGCGCTCAGCAGCATTTACAGGAGATCCATACACTGCCGTGGCGCTGTCGCTGGTCTACGCCCTGCTCCCGTCCAAGACCGAGGCCCACTACACCCTGGTCCTGCATTAAATATTTGAAAAATAAATGTATTTTTTTGTTGTTGATTTTTTAAAACAATATTTGAATCTTTCTATCACGTAGATGCTTATTCCAACTCACAAGTTCCAGCCTACTCCCCATCCCTACTTACATTTCTCCTTATTTTTCAAAAGTGAGAAAAGAGACTTTTTGCCCCACGGATGGGGCCACTTAGGACGCTCAGCATACACCAAATGTAACATGCCACATGCAAAAAAAGTTTCATTGAATCCGGGGCCATTTTTTTGCCATGAACTGTCTGGCGAGAAGACTTCACCGCCATTTCAAACCCCAGAACCAGAGCCCCTTCCAGTACCGCGTGTCACCACCCCAATGTCACATGACTGCATGGCGGGACTGACTAACCTTCTGCTAAGCAGGTGCTACATGCACAAAACCAAAAACAAAGTGCCCTAGCAAGCACAAAACAAATTCCGTAAAGAACGAGCAGATTAATTATATAGCAAATTCATTTGGTACACCTTGCAACTTGTTTTCGCCCCGAGTAAAACTGCGGAGCACCAGGCCGTCAGTAGATCGTCCCTTTCTGGTCAGCGCGCTCCAACGACGTACTACCGAAGGAGTGTCCAGTTCACACTAACAGATTTGTAGATTTTATTTGTACAAAGTTGCGCATACATTCCATTCGCACAGATTTGTGCTAAGAAGTGCATGTTTTTATGCATACGTATGCACAAATTCGTACATATTTGCGCACAAATTCGTGCGAATCGAAATGTATGCGCAACTTTGTGCAAAAGTTTGCACAAAAAACTACAAATACATTAAGCGTGTTGGCGGCGTGTCAGTAACGAGATGGTGACGAGATAGTGACGCCAGAGAAGTCACCAAGTCGTCGCTCACTCATCTCATTCTCGTCACACTATTATTTTCATTACGTTAGTCGCAGCTTGGCCACTCTGTCGCCGCCAACTGGTGACCCTCTCGTCACATCTTCGTCAGCGCCGAAAGACGACGAAGAAAAGCAGCGCCGGCCGGTGGGATTCGAACCCGTTTCCTGCGGCTCGCCACTCGCCACACTCCAAGCCACTCGGCCACTCACATCTCTATACATCCCGAGTGGAACTGCGGATCGAGAGGCCGTCACATCCTCGTCTCCTCGCGGTGAGCACAGCGCGTCAACTTGCTAGCGACCCGGCCATAGAGCCCCGCAAAGAGCGAGCTACGCGAGCAACGCTCCGGACGCCGGTTGACGCGAACAGACGATAGCTCGCCAGCGGACGCCAGCAGATCACATCCGAAGAGTACCCGAACGTTCGCCAAACAGCTCGGCACCGACTAGCACCGACGATCGGCTGGTCGTAGCTTCGATTCCCGCTATCGCACAATTTTTTGGCACCAAAATTTGAGTGAGAAATTGCATTTGGGCCTCCAAATCACATTCTCACCATAATATTTTGAGTTTGGTATTCTGAAAGACGAGAAAATTAAATGTTTCTGGCGGGAGTCGAAGCTCCGCCGCAGCCGCCCGCCGCCAGCTCGCGAGCTAGCGCGAGACGAGACGAGCTATGCAGTCGCGCCAGCTCGCGAGCTAGCGCGAGACGAGACGAGCTAAATCTACCCGTCGCAACCCGGCATTGGCGTTAGCTCGCGTAGCTCGCTCTTTGCGGGGCTCTATAATACCCGCTGGTCCGCGTGTGCCAGATCTAGGAGGCTTAGGACCTCCGCGAAGACGGCGGCCTCCCAGTTGCGCCCCTGGTCACTGTGCAGGATGGAGAAGGCGCCATACCGCGACACGATGTTGTCGACGATGGCGCGTGCGCAGGTCTCCGCGTCCGCTCCATTGATGACCATTACTTCCGGCCACATGGTGAAGTTTTTCACCGCTACGATGGTGTGTGTACCATCGCCGGTTGCTCGCGCGAGCGGCTGCGGCGTACTGCGGGGAGGCCGTCGGTGCGGGGGAGTACCTTGCAATGTCTAATGTCTATGGCCCACCTTCCCATGAGGCTGTTGTTGTTGTGTATGCGCATGGGCCCGGGCGCACGGTGGTGGTGCGTGCCCGATTCACGGGCGCACTCCTCGCAGCTGGCGATGACGTCACGCACGTCCTGGTACGCCTGGGGCCAGTAGAAGCGCTCGCGCAGCTTGGCCAGGGTGCGGGCCACTTTGAAGTGCGAGCCCGTCCCTGGTAGCCCGTGGTACTTGCGCACCGCGTCGTCTACACGGGGGCGGGGCAGGACCAGCTGGAGGTGGTCGCGGTGTGCTTCTCCGGACGGGTGGGCCCAGCGGCGGTCCAGGACTCCGCCGCACAGCCGGAGCGAGTCCCATTGGAGCCAGAGCGTGCGTCCCGCCGGGCTGTATAGAGGTCCTGACAACTTATCTTGACCGAAGAATTTCAGTCCGCGCCAGAAGTGCAGCCCTACCCGAGCCGAGCTGCAGCCCATGTGGCCCGGGCTGGTCTCGGGGGCGGCCTTTTATTGGCCTGGGTAGGGTCGGTGCGATTCCTGAGCGGCCTGTATTTCTTTTGTTCTCCGGGTGCGAGCTCGGAGGCCTCTTCGGTCAAGATAAGTTGTCACGACCTCTAGTACTAGCGGCACAACGCCGATATCAAAAATAACCTGCAAATTGTGATACCAGCAAGCCACTTTGCACACTTGTTCTTAACACCCAAATGCATTTCGGCCCTAATTTCAGAAAAATGTGTGTTAAATCTTGTACAGAATGATCAAATATCCGCCGGAAAAAATTTATTTTGCCATTTTCGAGTTCAGCGAGTCTAATTTAGTCGGACTCGACCCTTTGATCGCGTCTGTAGCTCAAAATTCGCAAAACCGGTATTATGGGGTATCTTTCTCACGGTGCCCAATGGTACCCCACGGGTCAGACAGCGTGAGATAAGTACCCAGGCGTCATTTTCATCATTCCTACCGGTTTGTACCCCTCCAAAACCCAAGAATCGATACCCATCATGCCGAGAACCGTTAAAAGTCATTTAGGCCAAAAATTGACCAAAATGGCCCACAATATGGCCAAATATTGACCGAAAAGATTTTATTTTGCCATTTTTGAGTTCGGCGGGTCTGATTTAGCCGAAATCGACTCTTAGACCGCGCCCATAGCTTTATTTTAACGTCTTTCAATTTTAGGGGTAATTTTAACACCACCCCCCAAAAAAACACCCCCGCAGCATATTTCAGATAGGTACGGCGGGCCAAATCGACCATTTGGGTGTTAAGAACACGTGTGCAAAGTGGCTTGCTGATATCACAATTTGCAGGTTATTTTTGTGTGCCGCTAGTACTAGTAGGCCGCCGCGTCGTCGGGCGAGGGGCTCTTTAGCGAGCAGGGCCGATGGAGGGGTCGGCGAGCTGGTCTCGTCGCAGGGTCTCCGGCTGCCACTGCATGTCTTATTTGTTCTCTAATTATATGATATCTGAGAGAAGTTTTTGGGTGGGGATTTCACCGAATTGGTCGCTGGACTCTCCCAGTGCATAATCATTACGGATGTGTTTTTAGCCCGCCCTGCTTCTGCTTTGAAAAAGCTATCCAGCGGGCTTATGCAAACGACTTCGTGTCTGTCTCTGTGTCTGTCTGTCTGTTCCACTAGAAGGAGATGTGCTAGAGACATAAAATTTTCAGGGTATTTTAAGGTCCACTCCTAGAGAACGAAACGCCTTCGGCAAATCCTGGCAACCACGCCTAATGGTGTGAATGAGGGTATCCAAGGTTCAAAAATTCTTCCAAAAAGTTTTTAATGTGCTAAGCGGTAACTCGTCAAAGAAGCGCTTTCTAGGCGAAAATTTCGTCCGTTTCGCTCTATTTCCAACCGTTTAGGCGCTAGCTGGTCTTTTTTGGCGAAAATAAGCTAAAAATTGCCATAGTGAACAATAAGTTGTAGAAAAAGGCCTAAAAACCGCAAAATAGGAAAGAAACTCTCCCCCCACCCCCAAAAAACGTTTTCTAAGCAGAAGGGTGGGTTGCAGTCGCGGTGCTTCACCGTTACATCCCTTTCTCGTGTGTACGGGGCAAAGTCAACGACGACGGGTTCAAGCGGGCCGAATGCCCGCTACATCACTGATCGTGTTCTTCAGCAAATCACGTGACAGAAATGGTCGGGCCGCAGGCCCGACCATCGCCGCCGGCAGGCCAAGCAGGCCCGGCCCCTGCCGAACGGAGTTGCCGGCGGAGCGAAGCTTTCCAAGGAGAGAAGGAAAATCGATCACAAAAAGCTCGCTGGCATGAGTTTTAGCTTTTTATCAGACAAGTCTCTGGACATGCATTTTGATTCAACACCTGTGTCAAGTGTTGCCCAATTGATCGAACCCAATGGAACCTCACGTTCTCCAGGATCACTTCGCATTACGATGACCTCTAGCTCTGACAGTGCCCTGGAACGATCCTCCTTTAGTGATCCTCCCACTGCTGGTTCGAAACTTAATGATAGTAGTGACTCGAGTCCTTCTCCACATCCAAAGAAAGGTTAGGAATAGTTTCCTTTTCATTTCATTGTTTTCATTATTTATAAATCTTTATTTTCTGACAAATTTACATTTTTATCATTTCAGTTTCCAGACCCAATGCACGACGGCCGCGGTACGAAAAACTAGTATTCCAAGGAGAGTACTTCAAATGCAAGAAGAATGACGATGGGGTAAGTAGCTTGCTTTTCTATTCTGCATGTATCCTTATTGTTGTGTACCCGTCTGCTATCTCTTCTATTTTCTTATTTTCTATATTCTTCTTTCTATTTTGACCGTAGTGGTCCATAACCACGATTCCTACTTTTCACCATGTTGTAATACTACAACAAAACCGTTGGAATGCTTGATGGTAGCAAGATATATCGTTACAGAACGAACAAGTTTGTGTTATAACAAACTTATGGTGCTGGTAGACGTAAATGAACACTGTTTTGAAATTAAAAATGGATTCAGAAAATTTTGTGAATGTTGTTGGATTGAAACATGTTTTGTTTTTTATCAACATTTGTTGCTATCAAACTTTGCATCAAATGTGTTCTAAATTTACAACAATTTCTTAACAGTGTACCATTATTGCTGCGGGCAATAACAGTA